GTAAAATGTTCAATTTTTGTTGAGCACTGTGAAATAATTCAGGTTTAAACTAAACTAAGCTTAACGCATTTTACGAAAACTTCTGACGCTATCATCTGAGCAAAGTGCTCTGAAATTTGAATTTCAAAGTTATAAATTAAACTACAATAAAAATAAAACTATTTCTACACAGATGGTGTCATACATGTATTGATACTAGTTTAAGAAATAATGATGTACTTAGTTTAAATATACGAATAGGTAGTTTAGTAGTTCCATACGTAGATTTAAACAGAACAATCTGTTCAAAGGTACAGATCATTATATACAGGAATATGAAAAACATGCTGTATATAAATATCTTATATTAATATTTTAATATATAGAGCCTCCCTTCAAGCTTTAGGTCAACTAAGTACATAAATCAATGGCACAGTTTTCTCAGCAATCTGACGAAGGTCTTAGCACAGAAACGTAACGTCGTCCACATTCCCCTACTCTATGCAGTTATTAAACACTTCAAATCCAGAATATATGTATAAACTTTAAGAAAAAAAAATGTTGAGTGAAGTCATACATTCAGCTTTGCTTTATATTCCCTAAGTTTCATAAAATATAGTGCTTAGTTGTATACGCACGCACACAAATATATATATATCATTATTAATATTTTAATATAGAACCTTGGCTGGTATGGAAAGGACCTTGACGAGATATAGTCAAATAGCAAAACACGACAGTCGCACGTCTATCTTTTAATCAGAACTTCTCTTTAAGTATTAGCTTGCCTACATTATTACGTTTCTATAACAGTATATAATATATAATATATATATATATATATAATATATAATATAATCTGTTTGTTCAGGCTCCTCTGAATTGACAAAGAGGTAGAAATAGAATTTTATTTTGAAATAATTTTTTTTCTTTACTTGGTGTCATTTCATTTTCTGTTTGCACTTTTATATTTCACAAAAGCATTTATTATAAGTGGCGTTGTATATCATGATTTCGCTGGGTTGATTCAAAGTGATCTTTCTAGCGAATTACTAACTTGCTTTGTTGAGGATATGAGTTATGTTTTTATCAAAAGTGAGCATATATATAGATTATATTATACCTCATCTTTGTTTTCCAGGATGGAACATAATACTTACTGACGTAAACGTCTTCTTTAATATTTCGGGCAATGATAGGAGCAGAAGGATAGAGCCTTTGGCTTTCCTAAACAAGAGAAATGAACAAAAATTATTAATCTATGTATAAGAATTCTGACCATGGAGTTTTATCAAGCTTATAGAGTGAACAAATTTCAGGAAAACACATTATTGTGCGGACGAAATATGTTTTATTAACTAAGGGACTGTATAGAAATCAGACTAGTCGAGACACATTATATTTTGTTTATATGTATTATAGTCGTATAAACCTTACGGTATCACGACATTTCATTCCCGTCATTTTACTACCGGTCATTTGACAGCCGACATATGCCCGCTGCTACATTTTACTGCCGGTCATTTGACAGCCGATATATGCCCGCTGCTACATTTTACTGCCGGCAAATAATTACGTTCTCAAAACAAAACATTTCCTATCACAGTGAAAAATTTTATTCTCAAAAATTACAGTGTACTAATTAACTATCGCACTAAACTTGATTACAAATAAATTTGAATAATAAAGTAATTTAATAAGTTGCTGTAGAGAAAAAAAGGTTATCGTTGTATAGCAAATACGTGCACTATTATTTATGTTTACACGGTACAAATTTTATGAAGTAATTCTCGTGTTCAAGGTTTTTTTGACACGAAATAATTAATTGTTGCAACCCTTTGCCGCAAGTAAAATGTACCGGCAATCATTTACTACGGCAGTAAAATGTCGTAGAACCAAACCATACAAAATCTAATTGCAACTGATTTTACGAACAACTTTAGGAAGATCGTTATGTGTTCATAATTTTGCGTATACCTGAACTAAGGATGTGAGAAGTGTGAAACATCGTTGATACCAAAACTTTTTGAAACGACATTTTTGGTGACTAATGTTAATCTGAAGCATTAGTTTCAAAACAGAAATGCAAAATCTCTGTACTGGTTGTTTAAATACATAATATTATTTTACTCTTCAAGCCACCTGGTGGTTCAGCGGTACCTATAGGTCTTGTAATGTTAACATTCGAGGTTCGATTCCTGCGGTGGGCAGTGTGCACATAGTTTATTGTGCAGTTCTGTGCTTAAATACAACAAATGTTTTTATATGTACACAATGGTCAACATAAAATGTATTTTTGTCACGTAAATTCTGTATATTAATTTTCTAATTGAGTATATTGTATATATTCAGAGAAACAAGTAATATAGTAATGTAATGAAATACTTATTTAGCGCTATTTTTCCTTCAATGTAAAAATTCATTACCTAAGTACTCGGCCTTATGATAAAAAAACAATTGAAAAAGACTGGGAAAATAGCAATAACTTTATTTTTCTGTTAAATGTTTATGTAAATAGAAAAACGTCAAACAAAGTCTTACAAAGTAATTAAACCTAACTGGTTTACTAATACGCCAAACAATGTTGAATTTTAAACTTTCAGACTTAATTAGTACTGAATAAAAGTACTGAGTGAAATAAGTGATTAAATTAAAACAGGTCACAAGCATGGCCTAGTGGTTAGCGTATCGGACTGGGAATTCGAGACGCTTTGTTACAAAACACGCTTCATATTTTTATCTGTGGGTGCATTATAAGAGTGAAAGGTATTCTCTTTGTTCGATAAAGGCAGGAGGCGTTGTCGAATAGTTTTCTTCTCCTGGTCAGTCACTTAAGATTAGGGATGGTTATGCCAGAACCATAGAGATATTCGACTCGTCCGTTTTAGTCTATTGTGTACATACGGTTTCTCTGGAGAGGAGAAGGGTCAGATGGGATTTGATTGAGGTGTTTAAAATTATTAAGGGTATTGATAATATAGACCCATCATACTTTTTTGTGTTTATCAGTGAAAACAAGATATCATAAATTTTGACAGCGTAGGTGTCGCCTACAGTTCAGACAGTATTACTTTTCAAACAGGATGGTTGGCTTTTGAAATGGTGGTGGAGGTAGAAAATTTAACTGAGTTCAAGAAAAGATTGGATAAATACATGAGTAGTAAGGGTTGGTTATAGTTGGGAGCTGGAAGGAGTATCCTTGATGGACTAATACGCTCCTTTTTTGTCTCTTTAAAATTTTATGAACTTATGTGAACTAACAAATAAACTGATGAAAACAAATTTGAAATTTTATCTATAAATATATAAAGACATAAATATCTTAATGTTTTAAGAATAAGAATAAGTTATATCATAGACAATATCTGATACAATCAAAAGTACCTGTTCTCAGTGACAGGAAAAGTTTAAGTTAATCTAGCAAAAGTACCCGTCACCAGTGACGAGAAAAGTTTAATCTAATCTTGCAAAAATACCCGTCCTCAGTGACGGAAGAGTTTAAGTTAATATATCAATGGACTTTAAAAAGGTTAATTCTGTTGCACTCTTGGTTCATTCAGAGCCAAAGCTCTGAGCTACTTATATCGCCCAATGCGAAAAGTAATTGTTGAGCATTTCAGTCATGCTAAGAGCCGCTCAACAATAACATACGTTAAATCTACATTTCCATTCTTTAAGTTACGTCACATTTTGAAATGTGAATGATAATGTGATTAATTCCTAACAATTTAGTATTGAACATTCTGCTTGCGAAATAAAATTTGGCATCAACATTATTTATACCTGTTCTCCCGTCATTTCAAAAGAATTTTGAGCTTTGCCTGCGTGCGCAGCTTTACAAACGTAATCGGGAGACAAACGAACGCTCGGACAAACACCACGGTTCACAATATATATAAGATAAACTACTTAGTTTAAGATTAAACAAAACAAACAACAGAGAAGAGTTTGAATATATACCAAAATTACACATTCCATATAACTCATTTTTCTGACATCATCTTTTGTAATTGGTCTTTCTGTGTCGTTACCAAATATGTTGTATAGTTCTTCATGAAGTTTCTCTTGCACGTGCTCATTCTGGCCAATCAGATATAATGTCCAGCTTATCCCAGCAGCGGTAGTATCATGACCCTTAAAATATAATTAAATTTAGCATTAGATTTTAAAGAATATTCTCGAACTCAGCACACGAGAAAGTATGGAAACTGAGTACGTTACATTAAAACGATTTTTCCGAAAATTTATCATTTTTGGGAAGGTTATGTAACAACATTCTCATACTCAAAATATTCATACCTTCAGATGATAAAGATTCAACTGTCACATACATCAATTAGATTGAGAATGAAACGGTATTCATACTATTCTATAAGAAGACGCAAGTTGCCGGACGCAGTGCATATAGCTTTCTCAGCAATCGGATCGTTGAAACGAGCGCTGGAAAACCGTCGTCCTCGTATACTAGATGACTCATGGAAAGCAAACAGGGAGAAGAGGTGTGCTTTTTGCATGACAATCTTACGACTGAGCCTGTTTGTTTGTTTGTTTTGAACTTAAACGCAAATCTACACAATGGATTATCTATGCTCTGCCCACCAGATGTATCAAAACCCAGTTTCTAGCGTTGTAAATCTGCAGACATATTGCTATGCCACTGGGGGGCATGACGGAGCCTTTCAGGACTATTGTCAAAATACAATGCTGTCAGGCAGAGCATGACTGAACGTGACAATATAAAATGTAATGATGTAGTTAGGCTTTGGCATCACATATGGTAAATCTACATCTTTATTCTTTAAGTTCTGATACATTCCATTTCATTGTAATTTTATATCGGGTGTGACTGTCATGTGACTTGCTGATTGCGTATACAAAATCGTTCAGTATAACGTACTCAACCCTCTTTAATGTTATACATAATTTTTAATGTTTTGTGATGAGTTCTCAAAACATACAATGTATATGTTAATGTATTCATACTTTTTCGTAATTAAATGCACGAACAAACATATTTTTTCTTTGGATTTTGAGGCTTGAGATAAAATATAATAGGCGATTTCATTTACCGCAAACATGAAGTTGTCCACCTCATTCTGAATATCTTCTTCTGAGAAAGCTTTTGCTTCATTGTGATAGTAAAGAAGGAGATCCAGGAATGCACCTTGGCTTCTTTTTATGTATCTAGCTTTCTTGAAATTCAATACATCACCAGAACTTTGAAACTTTGTTTCCAACAGCTCATTCTTCCTTTTGTTAATCACCTTAAAAATAGAAAAAAGGTTACTTTACAGCTTCGAGGCTGCACATCAGTACCAAAATAATCTATACCGAATGGACTAGCATCCATAACCTCATAAATGTTAATACCAGAAGAATTAAACCATTTAGTACTGTAAATAATATAATTTTAAAAAAAATACTATTAAAGTATGTTATACCAACAGAACTGGAGCTTTCAAATATTCCGTATGAGAAACCTCACAGTTTAATAAAAATGGAAACGAAATAAAGCAGAAACAGTGAAACAAAATTAGCGATAAATACCAGTTAGTTTAAGCTTAATATCATCAACATACCACATTGATAAGTAGAGAGGAAAGTCATCAGTCATTAGAGTTCCAAAGTATAGTTGTTATACGCTTATGTTTGGAAAGTTATTACTAACGTAAATGTAATCAAACTTCTAAAAGTGTTGCCATAGGCCGTTTTTGAAAATGTTTTTGTGCATGTATGCATATATAGGTTCAAAATAAACAAAAATATTCTCCTTTAAATGCGTCGTACAAATGAAAACAATGGACAAGCTACAAACGTCAAACTGGTAAAATTATACTAATGACAGAGGTATCTGCCAAAAAAGAACCTACATAGTGGTGGGTACACCGTCCATAAGATTTGACTTGTATTTACAAACGCACAAAATTACGAAGCGGAAGTAAAAAATAAAAAATTAGGAGCAGATATGAATATTCTAACCAATGATGTTTGATAGTACTTATCATAAAATGCTACTCAAAGACAAATGTAATGTTCTTAGAAAATGTTATACAAATTTATACAGAAATGTTTTAAGTAAATGCTTATTTTAGTCAAACCATGCCTATTTTACCATGTCAACATTACATTTAATATATATATATTCATATTAGATAATACGCGTGTTGATTTAGATAGTTTACTCGACTGAGCACGCAATTAACAATATACTGATCAAAGATTGTAGGATTAGAATAAGGAAGAAAAATTAAATTTTCCTTCCTCTAATAACAGTAATTATTTACATATTAAGTTTCATTATGTTATTCATAAACGTATCACCCGGTGGGACAGTGGCAAGACTAAGGACTTAACATGCTAAAATCCGAGGTTCGATTTCCCGCGATGGACACAGCTTATTGTCAAATGTGGCTTTGCTCTCAAACAACAAAACCAAGCAATATGTGACTGAAATGCATCAGTCCATGTGGTTGAGTGTAGTAATTTTTATTTGGATCTCGTTTTCTTTTCTGTTTGATTAGGAGAAAAACGACTTTCTCACAAGTTGCAGACAGTAAATGGGAGTTTTTATTGTGGTTATATGTAGGTTTAAGACTTTATATCTTTTGTTTTGTTTGCCAGTTGTATTTTTTATTTATGACGCTTTTTTATTTTCGCTTTTGTCCTTGTTGTCTGAAAAGTTGGTGAAAATTTTGTCCATGGTAACTATATGCTGTTTTGTTACGGTTCTTCAATTGTTACAATTAACACAAGTATTGTGCTATTTTATTAATTTATATGTACATTTATAATTGTGTGTTTATATTAAACAAAAATATGTCGTTTTGCTTTCCAGGCCCAGGAAGAGGTGTGACTTAAATCACAGACTGAAACTTAAAGGTTTGAAATGAAATGCCATTACAAAAAAAAGTAATGTATAATATTAATACTTTCTTAGAAGTTCTCGTACATTTTTACCTTTTTTGTAAACTGAGACATGATGAGAAGATTTTCATGGAAATCTTTGCTTAAAGAAGTCCTGTTGTAGATAAAGTCAGACCACAGCCAAGGTCTCATCAGTCTTGTCATGAAGCTTTCTCCTAATCTGAATCACATTAATTAATGATATCACACGAGTCCACATGAAGAGAAATAAAAAACATTAACTGTTTAATTGCGGGTTTCAATTGACTATATAAACGTAACAAAAATGTTATGAAAGGATGCAGAAAACGAGAAAATATTACATCATTATGTCTAATAAAATACGACTCTATTTGCAGATTGAGCATCAAGTTTATTATCAGATGTTGCTAAATTTCTATCGTTAGATGAACCGCGACACTCAATAAGTCATTATTATTATTTACAGCCTAGCGTATTTATTAATCTTTAAAACAGTATTTTTGCAGACAAACAAAACAGAAAACTAAACTAGCATATGCCACTGTACTTTGTAAAGAAACGACATAGATCATTTCGTAATACAGTAAAATAAATAATTGATTTAATGGAGATTAATATTATAAAAAATGAGATCGTCACGTGATCCTCGTTTAACGGTATTCTGCAAAAAGAAAATGTGTTTGCCAAACCGGAAAATTCCAAGATCCCAAGTGTCAGATTGTGGTGACAAATTAGAAAACCGAAATACACCAAGAGGAAATTAGAAAAGGAAAACCACATTGATAAAAGACATCGAGATAACAAGGTAAAGAATGAACGGTGATGATTCGTTGAAAGGAGAGATGGTGATAGTTATTCTTGATTTATTAAGAGAAAAAGGATGCTTGCCATCTAGTGAGAAATTAGTGAAGAAAGAGCGATTGGTGATAGCGGAGAAGTCAGAGTGGTTTCATTCTAGCAGTTCAATGAAACTTTTTACCTTTTGTACTAAATGTATAATCACTTCAGTATTGGGAGTACTTTGATAACCGACTTGAGAAATGGTTTAGTAAAAAGATAATTAAAAAGTGTTAATTTAAAGAGACGAATAGAGGTCGTCAAAAAAGTACAGAAAAATAGGTTGAATCAAAATACAAAGATTATATTTTCAAGCCTACAACTAGGGACTCTAAAAAAGTAAACAAACTAGGCTGGAAATAGTATCTATATTATTTTCTCAAGTTACAAATCCGTATTTTGATTCTATGTCTACAATACTTATCAGTTTTAGTGTAGTCAAAAGTAGTAGGTTTGCCCCGGTTTGAATAAAATATTCATAGCCGTTTTTTTGTAAGCTTGTAAAAGAATGATAATAATATGAAGAAGAAATGGATGCATTTTGTCTAACAATCGGGAAATAAATTTTTTTGATATTATCAATATCTTAGCAGCCTTAGCCATTGAGATAGAAAGTATTGAGTGTTGGTTTAAGAACAAGTCTGCTTTTAAGATGGTTCTTGCCCATATGTTCTATTATAATTTTTGTGAAATTCCTGGTAGAAACCTATCATGAACTATTGTCGTGGTTCATGATAACTGAGACATGTGAAGTGAATTGGTGATAATGGAAAGTTGGTGTGATTCTATTCTAATAGTCCAACGAAACCTTATGTTTAAAATCTATAACAGAACCACTTCACTATTGACAGTGCTCCGTGTATTCGACTTACTTGTGAAGTGCTTTTGCATAAGGTGATTCACTGTCTGTCTGAGCCCCTATATTCACACCCATTGCTGTTTCTACGAGAAAGATGAAGTAAAGAAATCAGATGAAATTTTATACAAACAATTTTGTATGGACATTTACTATTGACTCATTTTTATGAATTCATGAGCTGGTTCATATATGATTAACTCATCCTTATGAATTTAGTAGCCATGGGTATGAATAACTCGTTATTACGGATTCAGGAACATGTTTACATGTGATTAACTCATCCTTATAAATTTACTAGCTTTACATATTAATAATTTGTTATTACGAATTGAAGACAGATTAATTACATATGAATGACTCATTCTTACGTATTCAAGAGTATCTTACATATGAATAACTCAATATTATGGATTCAGGAGCTTGTTTAATATGACTGACTCATTCTGTGGATTCAGAAGCTTGTTTAGATATAAATGACTCTTTATTACTCTCTATGTGCATGTTTATATATCAATGCTTCCTTGTTACGGACCCAGGGGTTTGCTTATTTATGAATTTGTTCTTTTTCTTGAAAATTGAGTAGACAAGATGAGTAAACCTCACCCATAGATAAAACAATGAAATATAACTTATGAAATAAATAATTCGACTACGTTTTAACACATATACATTTATGAAGTTTTTTTTTGTTTTTGGAATTTCGCGCAAAGCTACTCGAGAGCTATCTGCGCTAGCCGTCCCTAATTTATCAGTGTAAGACTAGAGGG